AATGATGAGGAATTAGATTTAAATCTTATCAAAGACGGAGTACATCGAGATGAAATACTACATTTAGTAAGGAATTATAAGCTGAATAAAATAAAAACATCTGCCCTAAAGGTAAGGATAGTGCTGACAGATCAACTTCCAGTTCATTGTGTGCCGCGACATCCCCCCCTCGCAGAGCAGCGTGAAATTGATAAACAGATTTTGGAATGGTTAGAGAAACAAGGGGGTATGCCCTTGCAGCAATACCACTTTTTGTTTGATGGACATCAAAACATACTTTCGTTTTGTAGATCCTTTGGCAGCGCCAGAATCGGAAATTCTTTTTGACAAAGTTCAAGCTTACTTTTATAAAATTGCTCTAACAGTCTGCAAAAAATAATAAGCCGGATCCAATTTGAAGATTAAAGAACAGCGCAATCTGCAACATTAATTGAAATAGATAATTAGATAATTTTAGCTTAGCTTATACCATCCGTTATACATTAAACGTGCATGCGTAAAGGCATATGCTTAGGCATGCACAGAAAGTTTGTAGCTTTGAGGTCCGTATTATAGATAATTCTGGAGTATGGATGTCCGGATTAAAGACTTTTGACAGCAATTGTAGTTTAATTTTTTGTCTTAATAAATCAGTAAATTAATAAAAAGTTGTACAGTCAAAAGTCGTTAATTCGGACACCCGTAAACCGGAATGATCTATAATCCGGACCTCAAAGCTAAAATCTTTCTGCGCATGCGCCGCATTGACGCATGCGCATAAACGTTTTACTCGTGTGCGCAAGACATTTACGAATGCGCATATGCATCTGCGCAAGTGCAGAATACGTTTTCGCGTGCGCGTTTAATGTATGACGGACGGTATAAGCTAAAATTATCTAATTATCTATTTCAGTTAATGTTGATAATTGCGTTGTTCCTTAATCTTCAAATTGGATCCGGCTTATTATTTTTTGCAGACTGTAAGAGCAATTTTCTAAAAGTAAGCTTGAACTTTCGATTATGTCAAATAGAATTTCCGATGCTGGAGCTCCCAAAGGATCTAGAAAACGAAAGTATGTTTCGATGTCCATCAAACAAAAACGAATTGCTACAAAAAATGGAATAAAAGCATATCCTTTGTTTATCTAACCGTTCCGAAATCTGTGTTTATCAATTTCACGCTGCTCTGCGGGGGGGGGGGGGGCACGTCGCGGCGCGCAATGAACTGGAAGTTGATCTGTCAACACTATCGTTATCTTCAGGGCAGATGTTTTTATTTTAGTCGGCTTATAATTCCTTTACTAAATGTAGTATTTCATTTCGATGTGTACTCCGTCTTTGATATGATTTAAATCAAATTCCTCGTCATTATAAATATCACGAATACAAATCAACATAGTTTTCTGGTTGCAATTTTCTAATTTCGGCTATGAGTAAGGTATGCTTTACGCATCCGCGCGTTGAAAGAAATGTTTAATAAAGTAAACAAATAAATATTAGGCTTCTTTTTGGTAAATTTTGGATACCCTTTAGATCATAATTGCTCATTATTTTATAAATTACGGTTTCATATTTTTAGTTTTATAATTTCTGCATGCCATTTTACCAAATTTAAACTGATGATCTATAATCCGGAAAAGTCGATAATCCGGAATCGCCGAAGTCCCGACGAGTCCGGATTAAAGACTTTTGACTGTATTATGCTTTTTTTTTTTTTTCCTTATTCAATATGAAACACCCTGTATGTTTATTAAATGTAAATTCTAAGCTAGTCATCCAACTAGAAGTCAAACACAACAGTGTAGAAATCAAAATTAAGTAAAACAGCAACCTTTTTTGGTGTAGATTTTGAACAAAACTCTTTAGATTTCAAGGGCAATCGCATATAAATCCCTTTTCCTCAGGAGCAAAAAGAATTCTAGGGAAGGGCAACAGCGAGTTTTTTTTTTTTTTTTGTTTTACATTAGTGTATTACAAATTATTGAGTTCCCCCAACAATATTGACAAACCTGACACATGCACATTACGATCTTTATTATGCAATGTTGAAGTTCAGGTTTCATGTTTGTTCGTGCAGCCGCTTAAACGTGAAAGGTGTTAGTGTATTGCATAATGGAGCAGAAAACTAATCTGAAATTCTGTTTTAAAATGGGTAAAACTGCTATGGAAACCTTGGAAATGCTTCGAATTGTGTATGGCAAAGAAACTTTATCTCACAAGACATTATTTCAGTGGTTCAAACTTTTCTGTGAAAGCGTGGAGATGAGCATCGCAGTGGAAGACCGTTGACGAGCACAAAGACAGCAAATGTTGAAAGAGTTAAAGTTATTGCTGCAAGATTGCCATTTGTCCATCCGAATAATGGCGAACGGATTGAATCTTCCTCGTGAAATTGTCTGAACAATATTGATGCAGGATTTGGGTAAACGGAAACTTTGTGCGACATTTGTCTCTTATTACTTAAGCGATGAACAAAAGCAGCAATGATTGGACTTCATCAATGCAGCAGATAAAGATGACACGTGTTTACAGTCAATCTTCACCTGAGATGCTGTGGTTCGCAAAACAAATATTTATTACAGAGATACGCAGAGTTACATGCGGAGAAATACAAGTAGAGAGTGAAAATGTTTACAGAGGTTATATATATAACTTAACAATAAATCATGGTTTAACAAAACATAAACAAGACACATTAAACAACCAATCAAAAAAAGACAAGGAATGGGATTAAGTTTCTGAATAATTCGGACCTGACCGAAAGCTAATGCATCGGACGTGACAGAAAGCTATTCTTTTCTTTAACCGGTAAGAATGCGATTACAAATATCTCAACAGTTCATTTTGTTTTAACTTATGACAGTTTAGGGCAGATTTATTCATTATTTGCCAGAAAGATGTTCAAAATATTAAATATTTTAGAATTCTGAACATTGTATGAGAAATTGTTTTTGTTGCTTCGTAAAAAACCTTTCACCTTTTTGAGACCAAAGCACAATTTACTCACTCTAGTAAAAAATCAGTTGATTACGTGCAAAAATATTGATCCTTATTCTTTTCTTCTGTATTTCATTTTAACATTAAATGATAAATTATACATGATTTGAAGTCTTTATTTCATATATATATATATAAGATAGGTCTTACATCTAATTACCAGTTTAGCTTTACATTTTCTTTTTCAATTATTTATATATATATATATATATATATATATATATATAGTCAATAAACAAAAAATCAGCAATTAATGAAAATACTCTTATAATCTTTGAAAATGTATATGAAAAAGTAATGAAATGCAAAGTATGGAAGCATATTTGAAAAAGAAGCAAATGGTAAAAACTGTCTCAAGAACGGTAGAGTACCTTCAGTGCTTTTTTTTTTTTTTTTTATTATTATTTCCTTTTTTTATTTTTAGTATTGCTTTTAAGTTAATGAATTTTAAGATTTTTACAGTCTTTAAATTATTTGAAAAAACTGCATAAATGAAACAAGCAGAATGATGAGAATTTCTGGAGGACACTTAACTTTCATTTATGGGTCATAGCTTCAGATAGTATGAGTTCTAATCCAGGTGAACAGGCTGGCTATATTGGGCATTTCTGTGTTCCTCCCATGTGTAATGTGTATATGAGCCAATTTCCTGTAAAAAGTCTTCCATAAAGATAGCCCTTGTGTGTTTTAGCACAATAAACTAAACCATACTAAACTGTTTTTGCTGTACTTGCATTCGGTTTGACATCATCAGATCAGATAACATATGGTTGTTCTTTAATATATATTTTATTGTTTGTCAATGTAATTAGTATAGTGTTACGAAATTTATAGGCACGGTAAGATGGCTTCCCCGCAAAGCAGTTTTGGGGTTGCCATAAAAATGGCAAGGGAAGGCAGGTTTGCCACATTTGGCAAGAAATCGCCCATTTGGCGATATACCATGGAGGAATTTCTGGAACGAGTTCTTACCGGTTTAGACTAGAATGTTCTCGAACACAAGCCGAAAGCTATATAAACCCTGCTGGTCCGCAGTCAGTCAGTGTGTCTCGTCTAGCAAGCTGTGCGGAGTCAATCGAATTGACAGCCAGGCAACAAGTGCCGAGTGCACTGAAGGAGTCTCTTAGTGTATCACAGTTAGTGCATCGTCAAGAGAGTGTGTTGAGCTCCGGGAACGATTGAACCAAAAAGTTGGGAGCTGTGCTCGTGTGTCATCGAGTGCACCGCGAGTTGTGGCATGGAGAGTCTCGAGAGTACGTGGAGTTCCGAGAACGACCAAGCAGAGTCGGGAGCTGTACTCTGGTGCTTTGCAAGAAGCTGTCTCGACCTGTTATTGCCTGACAGTGTGAAGGCTGTGTCGCTGATTGTTCCAGCATGTTTATAGTTCATCGTCAACTGTAAAATATGTTTTGGAGTTCTCCTGACAATACTGACTAATAAAGTGTGTTTCGATACTTCATCAAGTGTTGTCGTTATTTACTCCAAATCTACGAACCCTGTACGAATGTGAAGGAAGCATATAACGTAACAACTGGTGTCAGAAGGAAAAAAGAAAGTAACAATATATTTTATTGTCATTGTATATTTTATTGTCATTTTAATATATATTTTATTGTCAGTTCTCTTATTTATCTACACAACATGTGCAAACTGCAATCCTGTGTTCTTACTACTGGGTTAATTTATAATTAACTTGTATCTTTGTCATCACCAAGCTTCCAAGTTAATGTACTCTAATTTTTCTTTAATAATGCTATCTGATATAGCTTTCTTGGCCTTAGGCTGGATTTAGTGGGTATTTAATATGTTCTATAAATACCTATATTGTTTATTATATGAGATGTGAACTGTGTGTCTTATGTGCAGAGGTAGTAACTTTGGGAATTTTAATGTTAATGCTTTTGGTGTAGAGATTTTTGATTATGTAAATCAGTGTGCATTTGAAAATTAAATGTTGCTGAATTTCTTTTGTTGTAAAGAAAAGTCTATGGTATTTCTTACATTGAACATTTTTGATTTTTTAGCAAGAAGATAACCCTCTTAGTGGAGTCTTTTTAGAAGGTGAAATAGATGAAAAGGAAACAAGCCATTGTAAAGAGTCTGTTTCCTTGCCATGCTTTAAATTAGCAAAGCCAAACAGTCTTGAAGAATTTTTAAATGAAAAAGAGAAAACAGTATTAACCCTCCCAAATTCAGATAACATATCAAGGTAATGTTTTACAGTTACGCACTGCTGTTTGTTTCATGAACTTTTTAAATGTTTTATTTATTATGTATGGTTTGTTCATTAAAAAATGCTAGAAATGAGTAAAATGTGTTAAATAAGTGTCATCTATTTAAATATATCAATGAACATGTATAAAGAATCTAGCTATAAGGAAAGTGAAGAATACAAGTCATTTAAAAACAGTGTAACTGCTGATTAATATGAGCAATTATTACACAATCTGTTGTTATTTAATACTGCAATTGCAGTATTCATTATTTCTTGAGTGGTTTTTTTTTTTTTCTTTTCTTTTTCAGTTTAATTCTTACCATATAAATTTTTTTTAATTGCCCTTTAGTGTTCTGATTTAAAAAATTAAATAAGACAGACTGTCACAGTAATGACTTCATGGAGTCTTTTAGTGAAAATTTATAAATTTGAAATTCTAATTTATTCCTTTCTTAGAAAAGTTACAGGAAGTTATTTATATGGCTATGCTCTTTTTTAGAGGGGATGGGGTTCTAAACTGTAAAAATTGTATCTGAAAAATATTAGGATATAAATCGTTATTGCTCATAATGAAAACACTTTTGGGAGCTACCTGAAACAGTTATATTGCTTAAGGAATTTTGCATTTTAGCATTTCTGCAAATAAAGGAGACAATGCCTTACTTAGGCTTTTTAAAAGAAATTAGCATTTCTACGGTTGAGTATTTTGAAATCTGCATTCGAAAACTGAAGTAAATATTTGTGTATCAGTTTTTGTTTCTGATCCCTCAAAGTTTTAACTGAAAATATCTTGGGTTATGTTGATGATATGAGAAGGAATTTTTTTGTTTGATATTTAGAAGTAAAAGAATTTTTGTCATTGACATTTTTCTCCAAAAGTCTTAAAAGTTTGAGTTTCATATGTTGGTTCTAAATGAATCATGTGATCAAAATTGTCTGATTCTGATAGCATACTTCAATTTATTGATTTCTTAATTGAGAACCATGAATCAGCAATGAATCATTCAAGAAACATGCAACTGTGCTTTTCTAAAAGTTTTATATTAAGTTGGTCTCTTAGCTGCCAACTGTCTAGATTGTTGTTGAATTGTATGCAGTGTAAAGTGAAAAGAAAGTGATGCTTAATGAAGGAGCTGAAAACCCAGAAATATTCTTTAGCAGGTTTAATTCTTTGAAGGGCACCGGTATATAAAATATATCAGTTTGCCAATTTTTTCACCCTTTCTGTCACACTACTCTAAAGTTGGAATTTTACCAAAAAAATTTGTAGACAATCTATTTAGGCCTAGGAGAGTATGCAGGTATAATTTTACAAAGATTGCACAGTTTCCATTTTGTGGGTGTGTCCAAAGCTAACACACTGAGTCGCACGAGCTGCGATAGGTGAGCATTGCTATGAAGCACGTATTACAGTAAAATACTTTGTCTATGATTTAAAAACTGTAGAATCTGATCTCTGTAGCAGATTTAGCATAACCCAGGGGGCACCGTGGGGAGGCCTGCTACTCTACACCCCCAAAAAAGTGGGGGGAAAAAAGAAAACTCATTGCTTCGGCAATGCTGAGGTCTCTCCGAGCCATTTACTCAACTTTAAAATGTATAAGAAAAATAATTAAAATACGATAATATTTACAATTAATTATTGACTAGAAAAAATAATTATTAAATATATATACAAATAAAAATCTACAGAAATCGAAACTAAACAAACCACGCACGATGAAAGCAAGAGAAAAAAAGGGTCTTCTTTTGCTGAAAATCAAATAGCTAAGTGAAAACAAAGCACCGGGGTCTTCAAAACTAAAAACAGAAAAGAATAAAAACAAATATAAATAAATCTGCACTCTAAGCCTCCCTCCTGTTTGAAGAAAGAGACCAGATTCTGTGACTCGCTCCCACGGGACAGATGCTACCAGTACAGTGTGTTCAGTCTGAACACTTCAACCACTGAAGGCTTCACTATACACAATATTTCAAAGATAAAAATTAAAAGTAATACAGAATAGGCAGATTAGCATACGAACAACAAAATTATATAAAGATTTTTTTTCATTGATATTCCTTAACATTTGTTTGAAAAATCAGTGTGTTTAAAAACAGAATATATCTCAATGTTAATGATTTGCTTGTGTGGTGCTGCCATCTATTATTCATAAAAGAGAATAAAAGTAACCATTAGTGTAGTTTTCATGATATTCAGTGTCTAAAGAGGGAATATTTTCGGTGTGGACACACCGACCACATTGCATCGGAATGGGTTAACCCCTTTAAAAAATGCTAATTTTTTGACACCGAAAGCTATAATCGTTAAGTTCCTAGTGTTTTCTTTTGATTCTAAATGGCAGCACCACGCTATGAATGCTCAATATTTTGCAGTTATGAAATTAATATACCTTGTTTTAAGGTATCATGTTTGAAAATTGATAAATTCTATTGGAGGGGAAGAAAAAATTCAAAATCGGCAAATATATGACTTACATATGCTGAATCTTATATATTTACTTCATTTCAGTCAGAAGTGAAAGTTAACAAAAGATTATTTATACATTTTTAAAACCAATATGTAGTATATACTGGCACTCGCACTGAGGGTACCACACCAATAGATGGCAGCGCCAGTCTTCTCTTTTTATACTCTGACATGACGAAATTTCTTTATATTATAACAGTTTATGATGTAATAATTTTTTTATGATTAATTTATAAGTTGTTTAGAATTCAATATTATGTTCATGAAGTGATGGAGAGTTTACTGACCCTGCACTAGGACTGAATACAAAAATATTAGTTTATTTTTATTCTTTGTGTAGTCCACTCGAGTTTCATTTGTCTCTATTTGGCTAAAATTTTTATTTCGGCGCTTATCCCAACAGAAGATCATCGATTTCAAAATTGCTGTCTGGGTTCAAAACTTTACACAATTGTGTGGGTTAAATGTGGCATGTTCTCTCTCCAAAAGACATGTTGCTTCATGTTTACCAAAATCCTAGAATGCAATGAAAATGAAAAGAAGTGATTGACAACTAATTTGTCATTTGGGAGTCATGGCTTCTTCCCTTTGTATGGTGTGATAAGATCACACAAAGTGAAAGCTCACTTAAAATGAAAATGCACTTATGGTCCATCTCATAGTGTAATCACAAAAACTGCTGATTTGAAAGCATGCTTTTATTTTTTAGGGGAATTCTTTTTAATTATTTGTTAATTTCAGATGAAAGACTAGGGAATGCAAGAGAAACTTGCCCTCTGGGTTAGGATACAAATAGGTTGTTTCCAAAATAAATTTTGACAGTTGGTGAAAGGAGGGAAAATATTTCTAAGGCCCGTTTTAGGTGCAAACTAAAATTTATCCAAATGTTGAAAAGGAGCCCCCATTAAGCCAAAGGGGTTGAAAACAGGAATAAGAGCTTTGAGGTGTATCAAATAATACAATACAACTGTTTAACAGCATTTCTTCCTGAACCAAAAGATATATTACAATCTATATTTACAAAAGAATAAAAAAGGGACCCTTAGAATCCTCGATAATCTAAAGTGTGTGCGCGTGGAGGGGGCGGCGATTCTTGGTATCAGCATGAAGCATGGTTTTTTTTTTTTTTTTACATATTATCTAAAGCATAAAATATAACTTAAGCATAAAAATAAAAGCATAAAAACTTAAGCATAAAAATAAAATCTAAAGCATAAAAATGCAACATAGTTTCTCAGCTGAGTCGTAGTGTTTAATTTTTCAGTTTTTTGGCTGAGTTACATCTGCTTGTCACCCAAATTGCAATACCAAGAAAGACAAGAAATATCACAACAAAATTTATTTAGTAGATAACATGTTGACCAAGTATCAAATGATTAAATTTATAGACTTCTGTGAAGTGTGGTCCTTCCAGAATCAGTAGCCAGAGTAGATGCCATTGTTGGAGATCACCGCTGCCACATGCCTCGGCATTGATTCAAAGAGACTTTGGATGTGTTCTTGGGGTACAGCAGACCAAGCAGCTTCCACACGTAGCCAAAGTTGATCTGGTGTGACAGCTTGGGATGTAATTTGGGTCAGTTGTTCAGCAACGATGTACCACATGTTTTCTATCGGCAGAAGATCCGGAGAGTGAGACAGCCAGTGAAGCAATTCAATCTGGCAATTGACGAAGAACCCTTGGACAACTGTGGTGGTGCATAATGCAGCTATTCAGCATCCTCTCTCCACGATGTCTCCAGACTCGAATCCGACCATCGTGGTGTTGCAAGAGAAACTAGAAACGTGACTCGTCAGTAAAGACTATTTCATTCCATTCTACCATCCACATCCTTCTTTCATCGCACCATTGGAGGCAGAGACATCTGTGGTTCTGCGCCAAGGGTAGACAAAGCAATGGATGTCTTGCAGACGGACAACTCTGCTGTAAATGGCGTTGAATGATACGCGCAGACACTGGATGATGCGTTACAGACTGAATGTGCTGTGCTATTATGGTTTGTGATGTGACTGAGCGATCCATCACTGCCGTGCGCACAAATGTACCTGTCATCACGTGAAGTGGTGCACTGAGGTGGATGAGATCGAACACGTCGGTCTGTCGTACCCTCCTGCATCCAGCGGTCACATATCTGCATTACAGTTGTTTGGTTTTGTCCAACACAACTACCGATTTCCCTGAAAGATAATCCACACTCTTGGTAGGCCTTTATCCTTCCTCCGTCGAACTTGGATACTTGATCAAACAATGATCGTTGTTTACTACGAGGCATAATTGATGGTGTTTTTTTTTTTTTTTGAAAAAAACCACAAGAAAAACACAATTGTCAAGCTTGAAATCATCGAAAATTCCAAGCCTTAAATAGTGCTTTGAAGTGGCCCATGTGATGTGCATCTGGGCTGAAATTCTAATCATTTTCATATCTCACCTCTGCTAATGCATGTTGTAAATTTCATGTTATTTGCATACTTCCTCCAGGGTGTTGTATTTACGGTGGCCAGCAGTGTATCTCCTTTGGACAAC